AACAATTTGACACGAACTCAATTATGAAACCCACATAAATAACGTGACGTCATTGTCCATAAAGTGTGCTTCTGGGTAACTGCTACGATTCGCATCATTTAAAATGAAACTACTGGCATGCGCTAATGTGATTCAAACCATACTGGAATATGGCGTATTCGTCTAGGTTTCCACTACAAAGAAATTCATAATTCAACTAGAAGGCGTACAACAAACGGTGATTCGATTTGCACTGAACAAACATAAACGTACTGATTCACTAACAGAACTGCTAATAAAAGCTAGACTTCTAAACATAGAGAGCATAAAAATAGCGAGAGTTAAGTCCCTAACGTCATTCGTTTTTATGAATTAAAACGATATAGGCGTTGTTCAAAGATTCTGTTACCCTTCCTGTCAAGAGACACTTTGAATATAAGGTGGCCAGTTTCTCAACACGAATTTCTCAGTCATCTTTTTGTAGGTACGTTGTTACCTTAACTTCACCAGCGACTTTGCCTCTTTGCATCCCTTCTAGGGTTTTCCCTTACTTCCCCTATCGTTACTGGTAGGATTTCGGATTCCTCTGGGCTATATTGTTTCTCACGATATCACCCTGGTTGTTTAGGCTTCTGTACAGCTCTCTGTGAAGCTCCTCCACCACCTCAACTGTCCTATCATTATAGAACTAGGGGAACATTAGAGTTCAATCAACCAAAGAACCAAGCAGGACCTCATACAGGCTGCTCCACAATAGACCATATTAATATACTATAAATCAGGTAACTAGAGAAATGCGCGTAATACAATCAACGTCTACAGCATAGCTTTCATGGATAATGACAAGGCGTTCCACTGAGTAGAGACATCAGTAGTAATGCAGGCACTACGGAATCAGGGCATCGAAGAACCTTACATATACATACGGGAAGAAATCTACAGAGGATTTACAACCACAGTTCTTCTTCATATAGAAAGTGTCAGCATCCCAATTAAGCAGGATATACATGCAAGACAGGGAGAAACGATCTCTCCAATGCTATTCGCCTGGTGTTTACAGTAGGTTTTGCCTAGATTGGGAAGAGTTAGTGATAAGATTTAGCGGAGCCTATCTTACAGACCTGCGATTTGCTGATGACATTGCCTTGATGAGTAACTCAGGAGACGAATTACAGCTCATGTTTACTGAACTGGACTATGGAAGCAGAAGAGTACGTCTGAAAATTGATATGCACAAAACTAATACGCAACAGTCTCGGCAGACAACAGCTTTTTTTTTTGGTAGGTGTAGATGCGCTGGAAGCTGTAAAGGAATATGTTTACGTTGGACAGGTAGTAAATGCGGAGCCAAACCACGAGAGTGGAATAACGAGATGAATAAGAATGTGGTGGATCACATTCGGCAAGCATTCTCAAATCATGAATGGTAATCTCTCACTAACACTCCAGAGGAAGGTATACAACTGCTCCATCTTGTCGGTACCTACGTACAGAGCAAAACCTGGAGGCTCAGTACAAAGAGGGTTCAGCTTAAATCTAGAACGACGCAGTGAGCAATGAAAAGAAAATTATAGGTGTAACCTCATGAGACATGCAGAGAGCAGAGTGGGTCAGGGAGCAAACCGGTGGTAATGACATCATAGCTGAAATCAAGAAGAAGAACTAGACATGGACCGGGCCCGTAGCACCTAGTCAGGATAACGGCTGGTCATTAGGGGTAACTGACTAGATTCCCAGAGAAGGAAAACGCATGAAAGGGAGACAGAAAGTTAGATACGAGAAGCTTAAACAACTGGACTGTTAAAGTTCTTCTATAGTGTCTTATTTTCTTTTTTTTCTTAAAGGGGCCCTGTAACACTTTTTAAGCAAGGTGAGAAAACACTGCCGATCCGTAGCCAAGGCTATCGAGAACATACGTTCTAAATATTATAGCGTTGCATGGCGACTAAGAATTTACAATAAAGTCTGAAAGTCACCTAAAGATCGTTTTCTCTTCTCTTGACAAATGACGCTACAGGCTCAAAATTAATATGTCCCAGGAGTAAAATCAGTCATTCGCTGATTTAACCAATGGTGCACTCTGTCATTGCGGGGGCCACCGCAAGAGGCCGCACTTGTCTGCGTATGCGCACGCAATCCCATGAAAAAACCGCGCATTTGAAGAAAAAAAAAAAAAAAAAAAGTGCTGTAGATTACCAGGCATGCTACACACATTTTTTGCCACTGCGCCATCTCTCCCTGTTTTGCTTCCAGTGCTTTCATCGGGACGAAAAAAGGAAAAGATGAAATTGCTAGCGTGCGACAAATATTTGTAACTCTGCTCGTACTGGACGCTATTCTGAAAATTTTGTGACGCCAAAATTGTGAGGCACTAGGCTCTTCTACTGAAATTGTCTAATCGCTACTTGGAGAACGATTGCACAGCCTTTTTAAATATAAAAAAAAACATAAACGCTGCTTTGCGTGACTCGGGCCTAGTGAGTTATGTGGAACTACGCAGAAAGGGTGCGTGATGCTAGGAGGGACCCACAGTGGTGGATAACTTTCCGTCGCAACAAAGTGAAGGTTAGAGAGAAATTGTGTGAATGCTACCTTTAACAAGTGGAGTCCCGAAATTGGGACCCTTTTTTCTGCCTGTGAAATAAAAAAATACAGCTCCTTCGCTATCGAAGATACGAAGGTGAACAAAGCTTTGTACAATACACACACACACACACACACACACACACACACACACACACACACACACACACACACACTCCCCTTATTAATTTAATTACTCATTTATAAAGAAATAAATCAATTTATTTCTACCGCATTGCGCAATGCTCCTTCCGAACAGTTTTCTTCATCACACGGAGAGTCGGACCTTCATTCAGGTGCAACCGTGAAGTGCAACAGTTCACCTCCCACAGACATCAATGATATGCGCCTAAGTGCAATGGCAATACACCTCGATAAAACATCAGACTGACGTGCCAGAAATAGCTTATCAGGCAATCAGCTGTTTAAGGCTGTGATCAATACAGCACCAATTATGTAAGAATGGTGCATACCACTTTTAAATACTTGATGCTCTCACATACGAGTGCAGCTCATGTGACCGGCGCACCTGCAGAAATGTGCAAGTTACAAAAGCTTCGTTTGAAGATACTGCGTCGGTTTACAGAGTTTACTGAGGGGTAAAGGTGGTGGCCCGTGCAACTCTATTGCGCACGTCTCTAACAAAGCACATACGTGGTTTCACCTTCAAGCCGTGTAAGGAAACTTGATAAAAAGATCCATCAAATTTTTATTTAATATTTATTTTCTTTGAATACTCAGAGGAAGCGTCACCATTTTAACTGCCAATGCGCAGAGCGCGCTACGAAGGCACGTACGAAACAAGGAACGCTATGAATAAAACAACAATTAAATAAAATAAAAAAAACAAGAGCTGTACTATACTATGAATCTCCCATCCCGTGCAGTACTCGTAACCTTGTTAGTTTGCCCTTGAGATCGGCTACTTATATTTATTCGTCTCTCAGTCCTTGTCATTCAGATAGCTGGCGAATGGAACAAAGCAAAAATGGACGTGAGACACTCACCTATGATATATGGGTTGCACAAGAGTAGAGGTAACAGCGTCACTCCAGCGAATCCCCAGCCGGTGGCGACGCTTTCGATTCCAAAGTAGTCGGCGACAACCACAGGCTTCATGGCAACCAAACAAGCGAGCAGCATTGTAGCGCAAGCACTGACGATAATATAAGCAAGGAACGAAGGAGTAGCCGGTAGAACCAGCATCGTCACTGCAAGCAGAATGAAACTCGCGGACACCAACGCTGTTCTGCTCACATATCTGCTGTCGCCGATTAGTGGAAGCACAATACGACCAACGAGTTCAGACGGTGAACAGTAAGTCACAGAAAGGTCGGCGTGGCTTCGGGAAGCTCCCTTGTCAAGCGCATAGTCTACGATGGTTGCTGGAAATACTGCCACTGTGTAGTCAATAGCCACAATTGCCAACACGCAAGCGTAGAATTTGGGCTTTATTACTAGGTTACGGATCTGTCCAATAAACGAAGAAGGAAGATAAGGTTCCTGTCGAGTACATTGATTTGTTGATTTGTTTGTGTGACTTCATACGCAAAAGTTGCAGTTTGTGCTTCTGTGCTTCTAGCTTCCGTAGCCACCACATCGCTTGTGTTTTCTCGCTTTCCCAGACGCTTCAATTTGCGGAGCCAGCTTTCGAACGAAATCATGTTCTTCGCATTGCTTAGCTAAGTACTTGTTCATGCTGTTACTGGACGAATGCGTCACAAGCACTTCTGGTCTTGTTGACTGGTTGCACATGTTCTGATTAACACCTATATCGTTCGGTGTGGCAAAATTCATAAGCTCGGCGGTACCGACAACGACAATTGTGGCACCATCAGGGTGTGTTACAGGATTAGCAAATGCGCTTTCTGGTGGAGCAGGCTTAATCCACGAAACGCTCTTCCGTTGTTGCGCAGATGTTCTGGCCTCATGATTCCGAGAGTTCGTTTGCCACGGAGGTTCTTTCAACAGTAATGTCAGGGCTGTTACGTTCATGGTGAGCGCCGCGTACACCAGCATGCATCCTCTCAAGCCAGTATGCATCTCTCAGCGACGTGAGTATCGTGGGAAACAGCAACGATGCCATCGAGTATCCAGCAAACTTGATGCCGCTGGCTACGCCGCGGTATTTGTCAAAATACATCATGACAACGATGATCAGGGTCACGCAGACGACGCCCACGCCCAAGCCTGTGGCATTGAGAACAAGAAACGACAGTATGTAAGTCACACTGTTCTATTAATTTGCCTTAGTGGTAGCATGTGCAATGGTATAAGCTGTCATCGTTGGTTATTTCGTAAATGTGGAAGCGCTTTTGAGGCACAGCCCCTTGAATTTAAGTTAAAAGTCACTGGAAATCACATAGATAAGTAATCAAGCACTTTTAAGAAGCTTTATTTCTCACATTTGTTGTTTTCTTTAATTATGCAGCATGTGCAAAGTTTGAGTACTTCTCGCTTCGGGAAGACAAAGTAATGTCATTGTGTGGTTGTCTGCTGTTCACTATCTATCTATCTATCTATCTATCTATCTATCTATCTATCTATCTACTATCTATCTATCTATCTATCTATCTATCTATCTATCTATCTATCTATCTATCTATCTATCTATCTATCTATCTATCTATCTATCTATCTATCTATCTATCTATCTATCTATCTATCTATCTATCTATCTATCTATCTATCTATCTATCTATCTATCTATCTATCTATCTATCTATCTATCTATCGATCTATCTATCTATCTGCTTTCTCAGATACAGGTGATATTCAACGTAAAGTAAAAACACGTGTGATAGATGTTCACAGATTTGTAAGGTTTTATTGCCGCTACCCATAGTCATATGACTTGTTCATCAAGCAATACAGAATTCTTGAACCAATGCGTGCTGTGTCCGAATGAAAGTGTTTGAGCGCGCGTGACGGATGCTAGCGGAGAGGAAGCGCACCGGACGTCTCTCATCGCGTGAAAGACTCATAGAGGACGGGCCACGAGCCTTCGGCTCCACACTTGGCGCAACCGGAGGGTGTCCCACGCGCCCTTTACAGGGATGAGCAGACGGCTCATACCTTTGTGTTTGCTAGTCGCACCACTCATTTGGCGATCAAGTGATTGACAGCGCGAAGATAATGTCGCTTGCTGCAGCAATCATGCTTTCTCAGGCCACCGTTATGTTGAGCCAGACCAGTTGTTCGGTCATATTGCAAGATGTTTCAGCGCGCGAACAAAGGAAAAAGGACAGGATAGACAGAAAGAGCGCTGCCCTGTCCCCTGTCCTTTTTCCTTTGTTCGCGCGCTGAAACATCTTGCAATATGACTACGCACCAACTAGCCCAAGTTTCCACTCTAGTTGTTCGGGTTTTAAGAACCTGAAACCACGACGTGATCGTGAAAGACACCTTAGTATAGGGGCTCCGGAAATTTCGACCACCTGGGATTATTTTACGTGTACTTCAATCTAGGTACGCAGGTCACAAGCACTTTCGCCTTCATCGAAAATGCGGCCGCCGTGGCCGGGATTCAATACTGCCACCTGTGGGTCAACAGTAGAGCACCATAACTACTAGACCGCCGTGGCGGGTTACGCCAGGCGTGGTGCAACAGGAGTGAGAAGCCGCTAACCTCACTCCTAATAACATTCACATTTGTGGCTGTCGCACTCAACGCTCTTTCCTCGTGGCGAAGCATGTGAAGTGTTTATTTTTTAGTGAACTGCATGCTGTTTTGTCTAGGGAGTACCAATCTAAATTGAAGCAAAATGGAAAGGCGAGCTACTTGGCACTGAGTAATACTTACAATGTCTTACAATGTATGAGCAGTAAGACGGCAGGGACAAGCAAGGGCAACACACGAGCTCTTACTCACAATTGAAGGATTGATTGCTTCAACAGGAACTACAGGCTACAATTTTATCCTCGCCCGTCACTCGCGCATAGGCCCCTTTGGTCAAAGCAAAACGCTGAAGATGTATAGCATGTGCTCCCCTCATATCTCATTTGCTCAAGCAGTGTCACGTCTGTCAGATAATGTCAGATGGATGACTGATGCAGATGGACGCTCTAATTTTACATGAAATGCTTCCGTATGTTCGCGTCTCAGGCAATCTCAGTTTTTCACATCCGCGCTCAGCGCGGTGCGTGGGAAAAAATACAGGCGGCCTTCCTTGAAAGGAAGACTAGTTCTACCTAAAGCTTACATTCGCACATCAGTCCTGTCTGGCCGATTTAGGCACGTCCATAAGACAGAACGATGCAATAAACGATGTTCGTGCTACATGGGATGAATCTATAACTTTGGGTAATGGTGCAACCACGTGGCAAGACATATTCAAGCTTCTACCGACTATCAGACATAGCCTACTTATTTTTTTACTAGCATGAAAGAAAAAACAACTTTAACCCACATAGTTGAGCTGACTTTTTAATACGATGCGATAACACGTGTCACGCTTCCCTAGAGCAGCAGAGCGCGTGGCTGTCGACACTGTTGTTTGCTGAGGCTTCTACGTCACGTCAGCTGGAAGCTTCCGTTCATGCTTTAATTTTAGCACAAATGCCTTGCACACAGTATGACCACATTTGGTACAATTATGGCGTCAGTGTTTACATATTTCTGCACAAAGCGGCAGCTGGTGTGGCCGGCTGGGTGCTGTAGACAAGTGTGATTCAATCTGCACATGTGGTATACCCGCCACCTGGTGGTTTTGATCCGGAATATACGAAAATCAAGACCTTTTATGTTCTTGGTGAAATTTTGCAGCCAGCTTGTATTATTGTGGCAGGAACAGCTACATCTTTCAGGTGACATACTTTTTTCATTTAAGCTGCGCAGAGCAAAATGCTGGCATGACCGATCATTTGCCGATTTCAGTCATGACAGAGCTATTCCAGTCCTTAGCCTTGTGTGAAGGAACTGCCGCTTTGGAGCGGTTTGGTAGACTGCTGGCAAACGTGGATATACAGTCTGTTGAGTGCTGATGAGAAGTGCGGTTGGCCGAAACGGAAGTTTTGTTGAAACACCGAGATCACATGGCACGTGATCTTTTGATCACACAACACGTGAAGCATTCATATTACCTTTATGATGTCTGTCTGCATCAGTCACCCATCTTTCGTCTTATCTGTCAAATAAGTGACACTGCTTGATGAGAGCAGCTTGTTGGAAGGGGATTACATTCCACGTATCTTCAGACTTTTTCTTTGATCAATGGCGCACAAGCGTGGGTAAGAGGCGAGGATAAGGTTTCGGTGTATATTGATTTTTGGTGTAACCTTAAGTGACAAAAGAGAGTAGAATGGGTCAAGGAACAAACAGGGGTGAAGGATATCATAGTTGAAATTAAGGAGAAGAAATGGACATGGGCTGGGCACGTAGCACGTAGGCAGGATAACCACTGGTCATAAAAGGTAAATAACCATTCCCAGACAAGGCAAATGCACGAAGGGGAGACAGAAATTTAGGTGAGCCGACGAGATTGAAAAGTTACAGCATATCCACGGAGTGAATGACGATGAGAGGGGCGAAGCTTCAGAGTGTTTTATTGGTAAGCCGTGAATTGTCCTTCCGTCCGCCCGTCTGTCTGCGTGTCTGTCTGTCTGTCCGTATGTTTCCACGTTCGCACTTGCTGAGTGAGTCATACAACTGGGCGGTCACGTACCAAGTGAGACATGCATGTACAGACCCATGGCTTAAGGAGCTTCACCCCTAAATGTTCGCAGGTAATTATATTTGGGATTTAACATCTCAAAACTAGCCTATCATTGATTATGAGAGACGTCGTAATGGAGCGCTCCGGAAATTTCAACCATGTGGGGTTCTTTCCCGTGCACCCAGGTCTGAGCACATGGGCCTGAAGCATTTCCGTCTTCAACGAAAATGCAGGCACCGCAGCCAGGAATCGATCCCGAGACCTGCGGGTCAGCAGCTAATTATCTTAGCCACTAGATTACCGTGGCGGGGCAAAAGTTCACCGGTATACCATGGCAGCAGAAAGCCCAAGACTGGTGGATCGTGGGAAAGGCCTTTGTCATGCAGTGGGCGTATATATAGTCAGGGGTGGTGGTGGGGGGGGGGGCTGATGATGGTGATGGTGATGATGATGATGATGATGATGATGATGATGATATATTTGTTGTTGAAGCAATGAAGCCTTCAGTTCCGTGTAAGCGCTTATAAGCACTGAAATAACTTGGGGTAACAATACAGGTGTCCCTGAAATTTAGTTCAAAACGAATATTCCCTGCATATGACCTGCTTCAATTCATGCAACACGTGCTGAGAAAATGTTATGAAAGATGGCCGATACACACTATTTGTTATTTAGGTGATTATGTATTTGAATTCCTTCAGTAATTATTATGCACTCGATTGAAGCGATTCATATAAATTCATTTATGTTTTATGACATTGGTGAGATTAAAAAAATGTCTGCCTTGTCTAAAAAGAAAGCACCTGGTACGTTGCGCGTCCCCCGTACATGCCAGCTGTTTTCTGTCCATCGCTGTACCACTAGAGGAATTTGTCACTGACTTGCGACTACTTCGAAATTAGTACTATTTGCTGGTGGTCGGGGAATACAAAACAAGCCTACAAGCTTTGTTTTCATTTTAACGGGCTTTACGGCAATGTGTTCTCCTCTATGGAATGTGATGTAGAATTTCGTACTATGTCCGCCACTTGGTTGAATGTATTTCGCAGCTACGTAAATCATGAAACCCACTAGGAACCTTACTATAGCAACCGTAAAGACGTAGTCATCTTAGCACAGATTCCAGTTAACCGAGTAGATAATCAATGCGAGAACCTTTCTAGATAGCGCATTCACTTCATTTCAGACCACGTGAATATTTAGGAGAGTGGTAGCTATGCCACAGAGGTCCTTAATAACAGTCAACTCCAGTGCACCGAAAGAGTATGCTGTGTACCGTGATAAACATTGCATGTCTAAGGCTGTATGCTTAGGCATAGGTCATTTCTTTTCATGAATAAACGTGCTATTTTGCAGTAATATCAAGAAACTAAAGTTTCTCAGTATTTAGAGCAACTGGTAGGGGACAGCATCGTGCCGTTATAGCGAAGCGTAGGGAACACTCGCTGTTTTGTTCATAGCGTGGCGTATACAATAAACGCTGCGCACTTTACAATTACGTAGCTACGCGTTTTCTAAGTAAAGAAAGACACCAGTTGATACGCAAGTATTGAAGTTGCGCCTTAAGATGTGTAATATTTACTTTTTGATTGACAGTGTTCCTAAGTATGAACTCAGCCACAAGATCAAGATGGGTGGGGTTGAGCAAGTGGTTACACTTTCTCTGGGTGGCTTAATCGATTGACAGAGAGACAGGCAAACCGAAATTTCTGCGTTGAAGTATTCCAAGAAAGACTATCGTCTTTAAAAAGGAGGCATACGCATAGCCCAGCCAAACGGCCATCGACTGATACCGGTAGTAAGCTTAAGTCAAAGTGCTCGTGTAGGCCATAGCCTGCAAGAAGCAACGCCTCTTCAGAGTATCAAAACGCTTGTAGCACATTTCAACCACAAACCCGACATAGAGTTGTGGTCAATTACCTTGTATGAAAACCGCGCCACGAGATCACGAACGCGCTATAACCCACGAGTATAACATCGAGATTCCCCTTCATGTCGTGTGAACTGTATACGGTCGTGTGAACTGTACACGCACGAGCACGGAGCACGGAGCTCGCCAGCTATCCGCGTGTCATGTCACGAAGGGGTCCGCAAACCATGCAAGTCGGATGGCGCGCACTTCACGAAGGACCGTTAGCGGTCCTGCCACGCGAATGCCTTCACTACTGGCAGACACCCAATATGCGCATGCAGCGTGGGATGGCTTCGTTAAATGCAAAATGTGATGCAAGTTTGCTTTTCTCAGTAAACAGATAAACTAGTTGTTCGTAGGGTTAAAACGGAAGAGGATTGTATTCGTTTTGGCTGCTCGTAGAATCCTAAGGTGTCTTTCACGGAATCTCAGCGTTACGCGGAAACCAGCTCGAGATATCGTGGCCTGGAGACTGCTTGTAGCAATTAACCAGCAATTTAACCGCTGAAGTGCAACTCAGGAGCCAAATTTATGGTGCGATGAAAAATATATATAGCAAAGGCTCTTTTCACAAATAATGCGTGACATAGACCTTTAATCATGTATATAAACAGCTTCTAACATACACTATTCTTTCAGGCGTGCAGTCATTACATAGGTGGAAAGGCAAACACTGTGTGTATCTTTGTGCGTGTATGCCGCCGCGGCGTAACTCACCATGAATGACTCCCAGCGTCACGGTCATCCAGGCCATGTTGGGAGCGAAGACAGCTGCGAGGATTCCTGCCCACAGGAATACGCTTCCAACCAGACCTAGTTGGAAGACAGACAGGTGCCGCTGCAGGCATGACACCAACAAGCCTGCAATGACGGAGAATAAGAGGGAACATTATACCAAACTCCGAAAATCAGTAATGTGCATGTTGAAGGTGCTCGGTAAAACAAGCCAATACAGGTTTTATGACTTAACAAGGTTGCTCACCGAAACTCTGCGCCGCTGTGTACTATGCTTGCAAATCGTTCTTTTCGGTAGTAACTCGCATCATTTGCATACGCATTTACTACTAAAACTGGGTCAGTATTGCCAAAGGCGTTTCGACAAGAGAACCTTTTAAGCGTGTATTTGTGAGGTGTGGCCACGTTAGTGAAACGTAGTACACTTTTTTATTTTATTACTTAATCGATTGATTGATCACCATAAAAACTAGCGTTTCATGCTCACGGCCACTGAAAGTTCCCGTTATTTTTGTTTCACTCTGTTGTGAATGCCACTATGGTCCTGCACTAACGTATACGTACGAATGATAATGTCAACCTTCTGTGAGCTTCGTGCTTCTGGAATTGTGAGCTGCATCATAGTTTAAAGACATCTCGTAGTGGCCTCGAAATTTTCATACGTTCTTGTTACTACACTAAAACATATGGGGGAAGACATGCTGTAGATACGTAAAAAATTATCTCGATTGATTTAAAACTTTCACAGAAAAATTATATATACCAAGATAGCTTTGACTGCACGTACCTGACGAGTGGGACACGACGGACATCACGCTGGCGGGCCACGATGCTGCCTCTCTTGTGACGCCAAATTCTTCAATGAAGGAGACGTAAAAAAACCCAGAGTTCATCATCATCACCGTTGTGAAGAGGGCAGTAAGGCTGGCTGCCCCTGCTACGTCCCAACGGCGGTCCATTTTCTTTCACGGGACTTGATTCATGGGCGCTGCATTACAAATACACGCATCTAAATATTTCTCATTGGAGCCTCGACGCACTCACATTACGTGTAATCCCTTTAGCTGCACTAAACCGCAATAGCATTTGACGTTTATAAAGACAGTGCGTTTCAGAGGGATTTAAACAGCACAAGACTTACTGGCCAAGACGCAGGACCCTCCTCAGATGCCTACATGAAGAATAAAACATCACAAGTGGCCAGAAAGCAGAAAAACAATGCCTTGCAAGACGAAAGTACGTCGCTACACAACCCAGCGGAAGCGGCAAGGAGGCCCGGGACTGGCACCGCCTACAAACATAAACTCGCACACGCATATGAAGACTACATGCGACTTTCCCACAGGTGATTCCAACAGGAATTTTTCTCGGATGTAATGACCAGACAGCCACACTTACACATATTACTTACCTATGTACGGAGCAGCCAGCCCCAGCAGTATCTAAGTGGGTGCGTTCACGATACGCACGAACGTTGTCTTGTGAGGTACATTTTTTTGAGCTGGCACTGAGCTACCAACTGTTGGCCTTACAGCAGGACCAGCGAGCCACCGCGGCGAGTGAGGCTGTGCAAGAAGGCTCCCCCTCTACAGCTTTCGTGTTCCTGTCGCTGCACGTGCTCCGGGGTTTTTGTCCAAAGATTGAGTAGTTGCTAAGGTTTTTCTTTGTAAATAAAAGGTATTTCTCTAATGATATAAATTTACGAGTGCTTTTGGCGCTAGAAGGAGCATTCCGTTTTCTTTCCCAGGACCAAGGGCTTCCCTATTGTCTGCTTCTCTTCCGCTGTAGGAGAAACGCGTGGATCAGTTTCTGCGCAACTCCGTCTCCGCAGTTCTTGTGGCCCTTGTTCCAAGCAATAATGGCTTCCTTCAGACGAAGTATCTAAAAGTGATGCAGATGGAGCTTAGAGCCGCTACGTCTTATTTCCCCAGCATCACAGAGGTCCGCCAGTTTGGCAGTGCTAGTGGTACGGTCGCACTATTAAAATGATGCAGATCAGCTCTTAGATGTCATGTGCTATGCGGTGACGGCCACAACTCGAGTAAATACCAAGGCAAAAAAGAGAAATGTTCTTTTGCAATGAACTGCACTATGGCGATAAGGCTAATTGCGCAGCAAGAGCACAAGAAATACAGATTCTTGAAGTCGTGGGGTATAGGTGTTGTTCGCAAAGAGAAGCCATAGAAAAATACTGGGCAGAACTCAAGCGTCACCAGTGTTGCAGCTCGACTTAACTTTGGAATGGATGCGTCGTTTTTTCTGTCTATTGCGGATGTAGTAAAAAAGGCTCCAGAAAAGGCCATGAAGTGCCTGGCTGCACACATTTGTGAGCCCCTGTTACAAATTATATCTAACCAGATGACTCCCATACTTGGAAAACTGAGAGGGGCAGACATGGCTTCACAACATGCTGAGATTCCGCGACCACTAAGTGACACTAAATCCGACACTGCACCATTGCATTCTCAGTCTGCAATAAGTATCAAACGGCAAAATGAGGACAAAAATGCAGAAGCACTGGATTTAGATGACATAGATTTGGAACCTAGATTACCAAAAAGATCTAGATCCCCTCTGTCAATGAAAGCTCAGTCAAAGAACAAAGAAGTGTTTGAAGGACAAGGAGGACCTGTGAAAGTGAAATTTCTTGAAAGAAAGCTTACTAAATAAGGCAGTAGCTGGATCAGTTCTTTCGAAAACGTAGGGTCGCTCAATGTCCTCCATTGCGATTGTTGATCAACTCATTCTGCAACTAGAGATTTCCTATATTTGATTTCTGAATTCACTCCTGGTAGTATTGCATTACAAGAACCATGAATACCTGTACATAATTTGTTTTAGCTAAACGGCTACCCGTCTTTCCGACTCGATCATCCACTGGGAGGTGGGGGTTTAACTTTCTTTATTAATACTAAAGTTATTATAAAAGCGAAAATATCCTACAAATATATGACGTCAGAATGTGAAATATTTGCAGTAGACATTACGTATCCAATTTGCCTTTTTTTTCACTTTACTTGGCCCATGTTTTCTTAAGGGGGTGAAGACACGCGAACCTTGAATATAGCTACACGGTCATGGTCTAAAAACAAAACTTTAGTCGGAGATTTTCTCTACATCACACGTGTTGGGTTTTCTCCACATCACACGTGTAACAGTACAAGGATGTACCTTTACGTCAGACCCAGACGTTTTCATTTCGCTCAGTGGCCAAGGTTTCACACACCCCAGGTAATGTTTGTTCAGAGGAAACTAGAAAGTTTAAATGTGGACATTGAAAATGTGATTGAAACTAGTGGTTTGAATTGTAATATTACAATAGAATATGATGAAAATCAACCCGCCCCCCCTTCCAAAAAAGGTAAGTTTAAGTCTATCAGGTTTTTAAATAACAGATTAATAGATTGTCTGGTCATACAAAAACAGATAATACCTTAGCCACAGATAATTAGGTGAATAGTGAAGAGGCAGGTGTATGAATTGTCTCTGATTTGCTTGGCTGGTCTTTCTCAGGGAGGCTGTTCGATTTTACTCCAGTTCTAAAAAACTGAGCTCGTGGAGGTTATTTTCGCACTTCAAACACTTCCGTCAAATGAAAACGATACAGTCACAATGACAGATTTCCTTTCAGTGTGTGCAGATCTTGCAGCTTCTGCAAACTCTCGAACTCGAAAGACAACTCAGATCGCTAGTACCGTATACGCAGACTCACCTAAAGGTGCTGTGGGTCCCAGGTCACTGCCGATTAAAATTAAATGAGCTGGCGGTTTCTTTGCTCGAGCAGCGGTAACAAGTGGTTGACTGTTATTAGTTACGACACAATATTGTCAGTAAATATACAGTTTTCAACAAAGCCCGTATCTGGTTCTTATCAGTGCTGTCGCTTCAGTTCGAAGTTGTCGTTGGGGATCACGAATATCATTGGAAGCCAACTCGGATTTAAAAGAGCGGCTCTTGAAGCTTTCTTAAGCCGCAGCTCATCGGCTAATACAGGACTTCAACACAAGCATGCCTTTACTTTCAACACACACGAGGGAACTTACGGTACAGGTGTGGGTGCGTGCCGACTCTGGATGCAGGCAGTTGGGTCGGAGGCATTCTAGCTTTCTGTGGAAACTCAAACAATGAGCGCCGGGCGCTGCAATGACGACCTGATATGGCAAGGCCTACACGTGCAGCTGCGGTTGCGAAACATCGCGAAATCGCTTCGAACGACGCATGTGCAGAACATAGCCTTGGTGGAACTTTCAGGCGAGTGAGTTTTAACCGCCCTTCATTGCTGCATCGCAAACACAAGCGTTGAGGCGAAATCGGCAGCGTCAAAAGGTTTATGGCCCCCACAAACGGCGAGCATCATGGCTCGACCTCTTTGGGCTGTGCACGCACTATACTGTGTCGTGACCGTGACCCATATTCAGGACGGTATTATCGTCCTTGGAATTGTCTAGAGTGTTAAAGATAAGCATGTATTCTGTCTAAGCGCTGGCTTTGCGCATGTGTATGTATGTGTGTGTGCGTATGCGCACCTGAATGCGTGCGTGCACCTGCCTGCCTGCTTGCTTGCACTCTTTTCTTTTAACGACATTTCCATGCAGGGTCATCAGAGAGGCTCCACAAGTTTAGGCTGATAGAACAGAGAAATGACTGTGGCGAGACCACCAACAAGGGTCATTTTCAAGGAACCTCAGAAGCAACGTAAAGAAACTTTTTTTTCACACGTGAAGAGTAATACAACGTCCACAGTTTATTTCCCATGCACGTATATAATGGGCCACTAGATGATTAACACGGTACGCATATTTTAAAGTAAAATCGGCGTCTAGACCAGTGACTATGTAACTTTTTTGTCAGCGCGAGAAATCTGTTTTGATTATCATGAGGGAGAACTTGAACCGACACTTCTTTCACCGACAGAAGCTCCTGTGGCCATAGCTAAATTTATTTGGACCTTCAGACGGGGGTCTCTTAAGAAGCGGTTTGGTAGCTGGCGAAATTTTCCACATTCATAGGATTATGATCAACATGAGCGTATCGGTGGATGGAATAAAAGTTTGATATATCGTCTGTTTGATAATGAACAAGCGCCTTTAACCGACTGCTTGGTGCTTCGGTGGATGGAGCTCTCTGTCTCAAAAGCGCTCATCATCCTTGCTGGCTAGTTTCTTGCGTTGAAATGTAACACTGGTATATTATTCGGTGAACCTAAAGATGCGGCCTAATCACCATATTTGTACTTCTAAATGATCCGAGAATATCTGCAAAATGTTTACCTGGGGCATTGTAGCCAAGAAAATGAGTTTAAAAAAGCCACCATCTCTCTATTCACACTATCTCAGTGCATTTCAGATAAGGAAGACGTGCTTTTATACTTTTTTCTTCAGACGCAGAAGAGGTGGAGGGAGTAAGGGGATAGATAATGAGGTAGGCCATATTAAAGTATGAATTCGCATCCGTATTTGAAACCTGAAGAATTAAATTCCTAGCACGCCGCATGACAGCCACACTCTTTCATTTGTGATAAGGACTCGCACTTGAAGCATAATTTTTTTATGTGTGCATGCGTACTAAGTGTGCGCTATAACGTTTGTGTGGCGTACGCAATGAAACATTCTTTTGTGTAATCTGTTACCCAGCATCAAATCTAAATATGTTTACCCGCGTCAAACGGTCATAGCTGGTCGTGACGCATCTGCAAAGGCATGAACATGCACTGTCCAGATAAGTGCTAGTGTGCACATGAATAGTGAGAACAGGAGTGGGATGAAGAAGCAAAGACTTTAATTAGTAGCCAGTATATCGATCCTGGCAATGTCTACAGGCAATCCCACCACCCGGTTGCCCCTGGTATGACATGTGCGGCCCGTTAGCCACTTTTATAGCGCCACGGCTGGCCCCGGCCCCTAACCACACGGCACCGAACACCGAAGTGAGTGTCGATCGATTTGAATTACAGGGGAAGTCTCTGCGACGGCAGGGAAGCTGAACAGCTCGTTTTTTCTTTATGGAACCTTAATGGGAACCGACAAATAGTGCAGCCAAGGCAGCCAAATGGGACGTTAAAAGAGCACCGACATCAAATTTACTCATGTCAAAATGTTTGCGTCAGCGAATAGCTACCGACCCCATGGTAGCGATTTGCGACCTATAACGCAACTGAAGGACGAATAACTATCACGTTTATTAATTTGTATCACTCATATATAGCATGATTGAAAACGGCCGCCTATTCCGCAATTTTTAGGGCGGTACCAGTGGCGCTACTTCATGGTCACCACCATAACGCGCCACTGCGAACCACTTCATAGATTACGCCTTCATAACCTTCATAGGTTACGGGAAGGCCTTAGATTCAGAACAGATATCAGCAGTCAAAAAGGTGCTGAGAAACCAGAGCGTCGACGACTGATACATACTCGTTGCAATGCATTGAAGTATTTCTACTTTCCATCAGTTATTGCACAACGGAATAAATTACCACGTGGTGTGGTGTCCTCAAAATCTGCTCGCTCGTTCACCGCCAATCTTGAAACATATTTTGATCAGTAAGTAACAACGTCGTACATAACGGTGCAACTGTTTATGGAACGTGTTTGATTCTATGCCATCCACAGTTTTCGTTCCTATAGTTATATATAATATGTGCTTTTCCCTGTTAGTCTTTGCTATGTTTTTTTCTTATTTTGTTGCAATATTTTTCCTGTCTAGTAGCCTGTGCAGTTATCCTTTCTGGTTTTCTTTTCTATTAAACTTTGTTGAAAAAGCAGTTAACGTACCTGCAGAACGTAAAACGAAGGGACTTAGCGTTGCAAGGGCAGCTGCTCACAGAAACGTCCAGCGATGCAGCACATGTACAGGGGGTGGAACTTGAATCCAGCGTTAATATTGCCACCGGGACTATAACTAATTTTGTTCTTCGGTAGATGGGTAAACATGTAGTAACCAAACCGTATCTTTTTTCGGACCCACTCCTGCGAGAGCCTGTTAAGGGTTACAGTATATTCAAATGAATGAATAAATAAATAAATAAATACCAAGAAAAACAACAGCGAATGAACTGCCCCCATAATGCTGTATAAAGAAAGCGACAAAATACCAATCAACAAGAATAAAAGACAAGGGTATAGGATCTTCATAACGTTATTTGCCGTGTGCTTACAGGAGCTTTTCAGAGACCTAGAATGGGAAGAGTTAGGGATACGAGTTATTGGAGAGTACCTTAGTAACCTGCACCTCGCCGATGACATTGAATTGCTGAGTAACCCACGGGATGAATTGCGATTCATGATTACTGAATTAGACAACGACAGCAAAAAGGCAGATCTTAATATTAACATGCATAAAACTAAAGTAATGTGCAACAGTCACGGCCGGCAAAAAACAGCACTTTGTGATAAGTGGACAGACGCTGGAAGTTGTAGATAAATATGTCTGCTTAAGACACCTGGTAACCGCGGAGCCGAACCATTCTCAAGGGTCTCTTTATGAACGGGGCCGGTGTTGAAGGACTTTGCTACGCCCGGTTAAGCATGTCATTCGCTTTAATTTAGTGGACTGCAAACTGATGATCATTCATCTGATATTGATCGTCGTCTCTAGATATTGTAATTTCCATGTGTGCTGATCTTATCTTGAATAATTAAGGAATGCATATAACTAGTTCACCTTTGTTTGGAATATAACTGTTCTCCCCGTTGAAAACATAATTTCTTTATTTGGCAATATATTTATGTTGGTTTAAACGCCCTAAAAAGTTTGTTCTTTCTTTGATAAAGGCCCCTGATTCCTCCACACCGGCAATTTGGGCAAGCCATATAATAGAGGCCCTATCTCGTGCCACGACTTGGTAAGAGCTTGTGCTTCGGCCTCAAGTCGTGACAATGCACATTGCGAGTTTGTCGGGAACGTTGACTACACTGGCGCTTAAAGCGTAACGCATGGTACAACGTGACATCAGCAACCACTTCAGAGCGCATGCACCAGTATTAGAGAAACAAAGCGCAATTTAAGGTGGAACGTCTTGAATTCCATAGAGAACTTTGAAATTTTATTCATTCCAACATTCCATCATTCGGGATGCTGAGAGCTGGGGTCAAAATGCCTCTTCATGGGCTTGACTAGGAGCATGACCCCGCAAGAAATGGCAGGAATACGTCAGCGTACAGAGCATTAAAACAGCGTACGGAGTGTGAAAAACACCACATCTAGTTCAAATTTTACGGAGCCTATAGCCTGAGCGCAGCTCAATAAAATAAAATGCAAAAAAAACACTGCTATGACATGAATAAGATCGTTAGTAGTACTGTAACAGACATAGCACAACCCAGTGTCACCAACTTAGAACCATAACCAGACTATAACTTTCCCTAGCGTATTCCCCCTTGGGTCGAGCAACACTTGAATATAGCTTGCAGAATCGTATTAATAAATTGTATTGTTTATTATACTGCTGTAAAAGCAGAGCCAATTGATCTTTAATTTCTTTCAATGCCAGCGCTAACGCACGCTTCTCAATGGGAGCTGTCGGCCCACTTTAGTGCAGGGATTGGTCGTCAAGTGACGCTCTATGACGGGGAGCACTTCTTACAGATTTTAGAGTGTAAAAAGTTTCCCGGAGGAACTGCGCACTTACCCCAAAAAGGGCTGTTTGCTATTCCAAAAGACGAAATGTGTGCAAAGGATGGCACACGGCACGGCAAGGAGGGGCACTTTCCTTCTTGTGGAGTAAAGCGCCTATTTTTTGTAGTAACTGCACGAATATTCGCGCCGTGTGCAAATGACCCATCAGTGCCAACACAAGCCTGTTTCCTTCAGACGGTGCCGTAGCGTGGTGTGGTGTAGTGGCTAGTGTACGCGCATGCGGACTGAGTGGTATAGCGAGTTCTAAGCCCGTGTGTTTGCAGTAATGTGATGTTTTTTAATGTGATGCTTGCACATCGATTGTTCATCTAATCAAATGTCTGCATGAACTTCCTAATTGTGGGTAAGTCAACCAAAACTGACTTTTCTTTTGCGCAAAGTAACTTTTGCTCGTTTGAGCAGTAACGGCGAGGACGCAGTTACTCTTTCACCGTTACTCTCAAAATAGTGCAATTGGCGTGCCGCGTTAGTTACTCCGCTAAAGGAGCAACCTCGATACC